TTCCGCACCCGGAATTGGTTCTAATTTGATATGTGCTTCGGCCAACGTTTCATTAGCCAGGCTTTGTTGGTTGTTCGCAAAGTGGTACTGGTTGGTCACCATTGCTTGCAGCAATTCGTGCTGTTGCTTCATCATCGCCGCTATGATGTCTTTGAAGTCTGTCATGTCGTTTTGAGCTGTCGCCATGTTTTGTTAAGGGCTACTAGTCCGGTCTCAAGAAGTGTGTGTTTGTACACACACGGTATCTATAAGGCTATTTCACATTATGTCTAAAAGAGTGTGCGCACACATTTTCGCAATAGCATGTTCCACATCATGCCACCCTTCAAATTTGGATACCACCAGTGCATCTCTTTTGCGTTTGTGGGACCGGTTAAGTGAAGGAGGCGTTCGAACCTTGGTGGCGTTGTGCTGCGAAGCCGGAGTCATTGTTCATCACCCTCGAACGGTCTTCACTGATTCGTTGTGTCGAGCCCGGCTCATCCCGGTCATTATCCGAATCGGTTCGATTATCGCACTCGACCTCGGTTCGGTTCTATAGTAAGTGATCGTCCAAGGAGCAATTCACGAAAATGACAGAGCGCCCGCACAACTGCAAAAGCTTCCAGTTCCCTTACGGGCCATCTGCTCTCCTGTTTAGTAAAAGCATACGCTAAAGGTAACAACTCATTCTCCCGCTGAATATACGCATCCGTATCGAGAACTAATGGTGAGTGGCTATCGAGAGTATGTAATGATGGTAACGTGGCTACAGCATGTTGTACCCTGATGCAGAACTTCTTTTTCCGCAGCGGCGAGATGATATGGTTCTCTTTTCAGCACCTTATAAAGAGGTGCCACCAGTTCTGCGTGTCGTGGTATAAATCGGCGGAAACAATTTCCAAAACCGAGGAAGCTATGGAGCTCAGCACTCGTCTATGGTCCTTTCAGCTTCGTCTCTCACTCCTAATGGATATACGTACTGTTTTGTTTACGATTGGATTTAGTCGTAATTCGGGGTCACGGAGCTTGAGCGGCACTGGTTCCACTTCAGCCACTGGCTTCTGATGTACTAATTGCAAGGCAGCGTGATGATTCTTGGCGGTAATTTTTGGCAAGCGAATGTCACTTGCATGCCCCATTCGAGCAATTCTGGTCTACCGATAAGTACAGGTACAGGGAGACTGGGAGTGACCCAGGCAAAGATCTGCACCGTTTCTACGAGGTGAGGTAGAGATACCTCAAGGATTGTATACCCAGAGATGGACAGAGGCTTTCCGTTGGCCCCGTAAATCGCTTGCGTCCGGTGCGGCTGACGAACGAACGGGGTCTCTGTAAGATGCACTAAGTTCACATCTGAACCAGTATCAATAAGTGCTTTCCCTGCATTCGTTATTGCGAAAATATTTGGCTGTCACGGCCTTTGAAGTTGCTTTTTGCAGGAAGCACATCTCGTCCGTATGCCGGCCAGGTCCGTGAATGGTGCATTTCATTGTTGGGCGTACGAAAGAGGATCTCTTGTCTCCTAGAACAGACGGTTGGTGGAAGGTTGCCTGCGCGCGCCCTTTAATTCCCGCTATGCCTTTATCCTCATTCTCTCCATTTCCTGTAGTGGCAGCTCGTGTAGTACCAAGGCCTAGTGCTTCCAATCGTTGGATGAATTCCTCGACTTCGTCGATATGACAAAGCAATGCTCCCGAGGTAATCTGGCGCAGTAACGTTACACCATTAGCTTCAAGAACGGTTGCACAGGATAACCTTGTCTCTCGCAAATGATCATAATCGTTTTATTGACTCGTTTTAGCTCTTTAGCGACCTTCATACAGTCAATGGTCGTGATTTTGTTTGGTTTCTCCAGTACTAAATACAATGCACGAGATTTCGGGCATTGTCGATCCATGTAGGTTTTATGGGCCTCTGCGATCGTTTCAGCTAGAGAAAGGCCATAAATTTTGACGAGTTTCTTCAGGAGTATGTTCGGTGTGGTGTTGGTTTTGAATAACGCCTCTGCTAACCATTCATCCGTCTCCAATTCCGTCTCCGGTAATGATGGTAGTGATATGTTGTTGCTCATCGTTTCCGAAAGGATGTTCGTATTAGTCGATGTTCTGTTAGTGGCAGATGCAATTTCCTTGGTTAGCGCTGCCATGATCTTCTGGTTTTCTTGTAGCATTGTGGCCATGAGAGTGAGAAGTTCTTGATTTGTAGCTGTCGCCATGATGTGAAGTGATGCGCTGTCAAAGATTAGTTATTGTCTAAAAATATGTGCGCACACATTCTCGCATAGCATGTTCCACATCATGCCACCCTTCAAATTTAGATACCACCAGTACATCTCTTTTGCGTTTGTGGGATAGTAAGTAATCGTCCAAGAAGCAGTTCACGAAAATGACCGAGCGCAACTGCAAAAGCTTCCAGTTCCCTTACGGGCCATCTGCTCTCCTGTTTAGTAAAAGCATGCGATGCATACGCTAAAGGTAACAATTCATTCCCCGCTGAATATATACACATGCGCCAATCAAATTGCCGTTGCCAATAATTCACTCTGAGGCAACTTCCCTGCGAGAGACCGACTCATTTTATAAACCAGACTGCCCCTCGCATTCACACGCCCCAATCCATTAATACACTTGACGAAGAGATCAGATGCTGACCGACACAGCTTCCTTCAGAACGTTCCGATCTACCAGAACCT